GGCCCGCGGCGCCGAGGCCGTCGTGCGGCGCCTGCGGAGCCGCCGCGTGCAGCTGCTGCTGGCGGCCGGCAAGCAGCACGAGGCCCTCATCTTCTTCGCCGAGCGCTGCGGCCTCGCCGTCGTCGAGGGCCTCTCGCCCGAGGAGGTGGCCCTTCTGCGCGAGGTCACCGGCGCGGCGCCCGTCGCCCCCGACGGCCAGGCCCCGGACGTGGCGGTGGCGGCGTTCTGCCGGCCCGTGCTGCTCGGCGCCGAGAGATACGTTCACGTGGGCTTCAGCGGCGCGTGCGCCTTCGAGCCCCACAGCGTCGTGCTGTGCGCGCCGGCCCCCGGCGTCGTGGAGCAGCACGCGGACACGCTGCAGGGCGCCCTCCGCATGCTGGAGCAGCTCTCTGACGGCGTCGAGCAGCGGAGTCAGACGTCAGGCGCCTGCGGTCGCCCTCCTGCTGCTGCCCAGAAGCAGCTCCCYGAAGAAAACGTCCCCTGTAATGGTAGCCAGGGCTTGGAGCATCACCTGGGAACAGGCGGCAGYGGAGCAGGGATGCGGATGGTAGAGGCCAGCCTGGAGGGCAGTGGGAATCCCACGTGTGAGCAAACAGACGTGCAGGAGCCCTCCTGTCCTGTCCCACCCTACAGAGAGCTCAGTGCCCTCGCTGTCACAGAGAGCTCTTCAGGAGACCTACAGAAACTGCCTCCAAACTGGGAGCATCCAGATGATGTCCACAGGCATTGTGGAAGCGGCTTAGTCGTGGACAATCCAAAGAGCAGCGGTTGTACAAGTAGCGGGCAGAACTATTGTGGCCCGGTCATAGAAGCAGGGTCAGTTTTGCCCGTGGGAGGTCACTTTGAAGTCCTGCTGCACTACTCCCTCGGGCAGTACGCCGAGGAGTGCGCGGAGCCCCTGCTAGCCGAGGTGGCTCGCGCCGCGGCCGATGCCTTGCTGAGCATCCCGCAGGCCCTGCACGGCGCCGCGGCGGGAAGCGCCTTCCACAGSTTCTACCTGAGCGCCATGGAGGCGCTCAGGAGCAACGAGCCGCTGCCTGCGAGCGACGAGGGCTTGGAGTCGGTGCCCGGGAAGTGCCAGCTGGTCCTCGCGGTGCTGAACTGCGCCGCCGAGCTGCTCGCCATCGACGCGGTGCTGGGTGTCAAGCGGCCGCTGCAAAAAACTGACGACAGCGACTCGGAAGATGATATGTGAAAATGCTCAATAAAGACCTCTTGGTTTTATGCTTTTGTCTGTGCTCTAACTAACACCAGCCTCCAAAGGCCTAATGTGCTTTTCTTCTTTTTCCCCCCGCTTAGAATTAAAGGATCAAGAAGGAGGCGGATCAGCTGAGATTTGGGGAAAACGCTGTTGTGAACAGCACAGCGTGAGTTTTCAGGCATCAGAAAGTGTAATTCTGATGTCGCCGATTCCCTGTGCGCTGCCTTCTCCGTCGCTGTGCAGAGGATACGAGGTGCACTTCTCTCCAAGGGGGATCTTGGCTTTTGAGGTTTGACTGTGTGTTTGTTAGGTGCCGTTCGTTTSCCTGGCAAGCTGCTTTTCAGACAGGCACTTGAACTGGCGTGTTCAAAGCACATTCAAAATTCGTTTTAATACTAATCTTCATGATAAGTTGGATCAAAAGCGATCCTAGATTAAAATGTGCACTTTTTATATTTTGTATTTTTATATATTATATAAATATCTATTTTTATATATTTTTTAGCACGCGGGAAAAAGTAACTTTGATGTCAGTCTGCTCAGTGTTAGCTGACAAGTGATAGGTCACTGCACTATATCCCAGTGGAGAATTTTCTGGTCGGATGGGAACTCCAGCATTTTTGTCCTCCCATCMAGTTCAGCTCAGACTAGTAATGTTAAGCACAAATTGATAGTGTGRCTAACCAGCATTCACTCTGGTGAGTAAATAATTCACTTTATTTAGTACAACTAGTACTATTTAGTACAACTAGTCATTTTCAGCTCTTCCAGCGTGAGTTGTGTTGCTCCTACAAAAGCAGGCTGTGTAGTCATGGGGAAAAAATATACAGGCAATATTGTGGTTTTATGGGAAGAACCCTTTGAGACAGCATTCCAGTTCAGACTTCGTCATCAAGGAATTTATTCTGGTTTTCCTCCTCCTCTAAGGTTTTTYCTTCCTTCCTGCCCACTAAGGTTTTTCATCCTAATTTGCTTTCATGCCGTATCCCCTGAATATCAACACACCTCTTTTTCATCTGTGCCTTAAAAACTTTTGGTTGGATGGGGGAATTTTTTCAGTCAGCAAGCAGCTCTAGCTGATAAAGGTATTGCCTTCGTTCTCTGTGTGTGCAGTTGCATAATACAACTTTTTTTTTTTTTAATCTGCCATTAAATAAAATGAAGTGAGGACAAGTGAAAGCAAAAAAAACCCCACATTTTTTATCTACTGTTCCAGAGAGGATTACAACGGAAAATCAGATTTTCCTTCCCTTAATGTGTGTTGTGTTGCAGACGGTGGTTCATACCCTGGGGGTGAGTTTTGTGCTCCCTTGCCAGGCCTGACCTGCCACCATCCRCCCAGGAACTCTGTCCTTGAGTCCGGGTTGATCTCCACGCGAGGTGCAGGAGGGATGGGGGCTAGAGGGACGTTCTGCTATTGAGGAGCAGAGGATAAAGGATGCTGCCCAAGCTGGGAAGCTGCAAACCCAGCTGCTGTTCCTCCGAAGGAAGTGTCACCTGCCTTAGGGTCAACAGAAAGGCCCAGGATGATAGACTAGATCAGGTAGGCACTTTYGTTTCCCACTAATGTCCATAGGACACAGGTGCCACGATGCCCATGTGGGCTTGGGCCCCAGGGAAAGTTCTCCTCTGATGGGCTGGTTTAATACCATAGTGAAACTGGCAAATTCAACCGCATTCCCTTTTTAACGCTTTATCACCATCTGAAAAGGTTTATTTTTGTTGCAGCTAACCTGAAAGCTGTCAGAGATTATCTTGAGGCAGGACTAAAGGTRGCTGTGCCTTTTTTGTTGTGCAGCAGCACAGTTACGGTGGTTTTATCCTGCTGCTGTTGGGACCTTCCTGGTAGGTGTGTGGTTCAGCATGCTGTGCGAGCAGCTGCAGGAAGAGCAAATTCCCAACTCACAAATATCCCCTGGACGTCACTGGAACTGGACTCACCTCAACCTGTACCAGTTTTTGGTTATGTAGCAAGTTTGCTGTTAGAAGTAGAAACTGCCGTTTTGATTACTGATTTTACATACATGTTTTTTAGTTAATTAGTCTCCTTGTGTCTTTTTTTGGCAAGTTTTTTTTTTTTAAATCTGTTGCCTCTTTTTTGAGATATTAAACTACAGAGTTTTTTTGCAATTGAGTGCTCTTGAAATCAAAAAAATATGTTAAGATTTTTGTCTTGATTAAGAAGATTTAATATGAGCTTTATTTACTRTTTATCATGTAATTACTAGTAGGTCTGAAATATGAATACTGTTTGAATTTGTAAACTAGCTTTGATAATATGTTGGATCCAATTGCCGTGTTTGTAATTTTGGAGAAGCACTTTGTGTAATGCATCATTTGCATTTTGTTAATGAAATTTGAAATAGATATTTACATCTAGGATTATACAGATTACTTACAGGTAAGAATATTAAAGCCATAATTCAGGAATAGGAATTTTAATTTTAGCAGTCCAAAACTAAAAGTAATGACAGCAAAAAATGAAAGAGATTTAGTATATAGTATCTCCTCATTCASAGTATAATTCAGTAAAAGCCTGGACTCGGGTAGGACCGTTTGTGTCTGTGATGGATGGGAAGATGAGAGCAGAGCAACGTGCCCTTGCTTTAAAACTCCTGGCGAAAAGAGCAGCTTAGATGGTGCTGGTTCAGCAGACAGTCTGTTTATCATGGAATCACCAGCAGATAAAAGAATTGCTGCAGTTAAGCTGCTGTTGGGTGCGGGATTAAGGGCACCCTGCAGCATTGCTTGCTCTGTGGCTGCATCCTAAACCCCTCCCTAGAGCTCGCTATAAAATGCAAATTTCTGTGTGAGGTGTTTAAGGAATGCAGTGTTTTATGGAAAGGAGGCTGTCACCTCTTTGTGTTTTGCAAATTCCAGTGAAACAATCCAGCAGGGTGATCCTTCCTCAGGATAATAAACACGGCCCACTTTCAGCGGGGGTCTTCGTTTTCCAGACTAGCCTCTGCTTCAGTATTGCCTTAAAACGTGAACGTGCCGGGTGAGTGAGTGGCAGGGCTTGCTCGGTGCGTGCAGRAAGAGGCAGCTCTGCATGGGGGTTGCAGCTGCTCAGATTTGAAGGTTAGGCTCGATACACATCTGGTATCATGTAGGAGGGTTGTGGTTATGTTTTGCTGCAGCGGCAGACGTTTTAGGAGCAGGTGAATTATATTGATGAGGAAAATAAACCGGGTAGGGTCTGTTTCTTACTACAGACAGAAATAGTCAGAGGTGTCTGAACCCCAATGCAGTATCCAGAGCAGTACAGGATAACTTCATAGTGCTGCAAAAATTGTGCCTGTGCCTGTGTTAGAGGCGTTTATGGGCAAGTGTGGGGCTGTGGATTGGGGTTTTTTGATCAGCAGGGCAGCTGTGGCAATAGGGCCTCGAGGGCCGGTCCCTCTYGCCCCAGCTGCAGGACTCGCTCTGTGCTGCTCCTTGGCACCTAGTGAGAGCTCTGCACCCAGAGCATCGCAGCGGTTATYGTTGCCTCCCTTCTGAACGCTGCTGATATACGTATGTCCAAGCAATCTACTTCTCCATGTGACTTGTGTGTTTTTATTTCATTCCCCAATGTAAAGAACTGCTGATTTAATTCCTTGATTGATCGGTTTGCATGCCTGAAGCCCTTTCTGGTGAGTGGACATGTATGAACGGTTAAGGATCTTGTTATGTTAAGGAAAATTCTTAGTACTAAATACCCAGCACTTTCCATTAGCAAAGCCAGGGTTTTGCACTTGTGACTCGGCCCGAGTGTCTTCTTGGGCAGAAATTTCCCCCCACTCTCAGGGAGTGACTGATCCCTGCTGACTCGCTTGGAAAACTTTGACCGAGCAATTCAATTGTCTCCAAAAAAGGAATCAGAAAAAAATACTCTGTTTTGCCTGATTTTTGTATATTTTAGGCTTTTGTTGMATTTCTCTGCAGTCCTTTTGTTTTACTCCCAGGAGGACAATTCTSGATAGCTTTTTCGCGCAGAGAGCTTGAAGAAGAATCTGCACCTGGAAACAAAGAGGTCCAAATGGAAAGCTTGCTGCTCTGCASCTCTGGAATAGCGTCCTGCTGCAGAGTGCCCTGGGGAGGTTCTTTGTGGTGATAAATCTGCACAGGAAGATTGAAAACCTGCTCAGTCACACATAGGGAGGTCCTGCTGCACCGCATGAGTTTGGCAAGCTCTGTAAACTTTGCAAGCCATCGTTTGGGCTAGTGGTGAGATTTCCTCAAACAACTAGCGTTTATAATACAGCAAGTATTAGAATTTGGAATTTGTAGTGAATTCCCCCAAACCTGGGACATTATTAGCACCTCGCAAAGTTTTCTGAGTCTTGATGGTTGCTGTGAAGTGGTCTCGGTCCTATTTTGCCTTAGGACCTTTATGTGCTTTTGCAGTCAGCGACCTTGACTGTGATCCTAAGTGTTGCAGAAGGCAGGGCCCGGATCTGTGGGAAGGAGCTGATTTGTAAAGAAGCAGGAATTTTTCCCTTCCAGTATCATTTGTTGTTTGCTTCTAATCTCCACTCAACTGCAGAGGTCACAAGTTAGTATCAWAAAGTCATAACCCCAGGGAAACGGGCTGGCTCAGAGCAAAGGAGGCGCAGGCGTAGAGAGAGACAGTAGGTAGCAGGTCCCCCTTCCAGAGAAAGAGAGRGATTACAGATAAAAAGGGGAAGGGAAGCTTGAATCAGAACAAAAACTACCATTTAGGAGGAAGAATTAAGAGACGTGGCTACACAGATGGGAAGAAGCAGCCCCRACTTTCACGCTTCCTTCCCTGGAGATGCAGTGGCAAAGGGAAGCAGTGACACTCTCGTGTTCCCTTGAGGAGTAGCAAAAGATGGTTGCCTACTGAGGAGAAAAATAGAAATACATGAAACTAACTCCCGTACCGGAGCGTGAGAGCAGCCCCTCAAGTGCAGCAGGGAAGAGGAGCCCTAGGCACAGCCTGTGTGTGCCTGCCACGCAGGCCAGGCTCTAAMCTTGGGCAACCGGGTAACAAGTCGGGTTCCTGGGCGTATTGCTGAGACTCAGAGAACCTGGGGAGGAGGCAGGAGT